TTTTGGTTAGAGCATGTTTAAAAACATTATTGCCCTGGCTGGTGTTGCTCAGTGTTTAGAGGGTCGGCCTGAGCACAAAAGGGTCACGGGTTCCCAGTCAAGGGCATGTACATGGGTTACAGGTTTGATCCCTGGCCCCAGTCAGGGTGCATTTGGGAGGCAACCAATCGATGTATCTCTCTCACATCCATGTTTCTCTCTCTCTCCCCTTCTCTCCCTCCCTTCCATTCTCTCTGCCAGTGGTTGCCAGGGACGGGAGCCTGATGCGGAGTCTGTGCTCCAGACAATTGCTCTCCCAGGCTTGGTCCCGACTCTAGGCCTTTGCTTGGGCTGCGGTGACTCAAAGAAGCTCCTTTTAAGTGTACAGCTCGGTGGCATTAAGCACTACTGTGCAGCCACCGCCTCCATCCGTCTTCAGAACTTTCTCATCTTCCCAAACGGAAACTCTGTCCCCATGAAACACTAATTCCCCCAGCCCGTGGCTCCCACCATCCACTTTCTGTCTCTATGGATCTGACTCCTCCAGGGCCCTGTGAGTGGAATCACACAGTATCTGTCCTGTGTCTGGCTTATGTCACTGAACATAATGTCCTCAAGGTTCATCTACGTTGGAGTGTGGGTCAGAATTTCCTTCCTTCTAAGGCTGAATACTATCCCATTGTCTGGATGAACCGCATTGTCTTTGTCCACTCATCCGTCCATGGACGCTTGGGTGTTTCCGCCTCTTGGCTATTGTGAGTAACGCTGCTGTGAGCCTTCATGTTCAAGTTTCAGCTTTCAGTTCTTTCCATGTGTCACAGAAAAGTTAACTTCTTTTCAACCATTTAAAATATGTAAATACCATTCTTAGCAGGCTGTATAAAAATAGCTAGTGGGCCAGATTTGGCCTGGAAGATGTAATTTGTTGACCCCAATTCTAGCTTATTTCTGTAAGTTGTTAATTTTTGGTCTCCTTGGAGGAGACTGTGGTCTCCTTGGAGGCAAAAATGATATAGTGTATCGATGCTGTGTCCGTAGCTCAGTAAATAAATCTCCTGAACAAAGGAAGGAGCAGCGGGCACATTGGCTCCATTGGCATTGGCTGTCTGGTGAACTGTGTTAAGAAGAACTCTGAAGCTCTGCCCAGCCAAAGTGCCAGGATTGATTGAGGACGTCTGCTGGTGGCTCCTGTTTCACTCTTAGCATCCAAACAGCATCATTAGCAGCCCCTCTCAAGCTGCCTCAGCCCCAGGGGTGGGGAAAGGTTATGAAATGATTCACCAACAGGGTTACCAAGGAACCTGGTTTCTCACCTGCGATTTCAAACTGGTCAGGCATCTCAGCAGTCAACTTCTGCATCGCAATGTCTGCCACGGGTCCCAGGATCACCACTGGGCGCTTGAAATTGGCTGAGGGGCCGAGAAACAATGACAAGAATCAGGATCCCTTTTGTGGCAAAGACTGCTAGGTCCTTGCACGACCACTTTCTACCTCCCCTGTGGTATCATATCTAGCTAGGCCTAGGGTTGGTCAGCTAAGACTACATCTACCAGCCTCCCTTGCAGCTAGGGATGGCCATGTGACTAAGTTCTGGCCAATGGGGTGCAAGAGTAACTAATGTGTACAATTTTGGGTTGTATCCTTCAAGGAAAGGGGTGAGCCCTCCCCATCCTCTTTTCCTTTCCTGCTGGCTAGAATGTGGGTATGGGTGTACCATCTTCGACCACACGGGCAAAAAACAAACAAACAAACAACAACAAAAACAAGACAAAGGAGCCTGGATCCCTGAGACTGAAGCAGCCAGACCACACTCAACAGCTTACGCTGGGGCTGTTACTGGAAATAGAAACTGTCTTTAATGCAGCTGTCAGTTGGGGTCTCTGCTATAGCAGTTGAATCTAGCTAACTCAGTGGTCAGCAAAAGTACAACCTGAGGGCCACATTCAGCCCACTGCGTGTTTTTGAAGTTTTATTGGCACAGTCATGTCGATTTATTTACGTACTGTCTGTGGCTGCCTTCCCGAAAAGTAGAGTAGTTTTGAAAGAAACTATCTGGCCCACAAACTCTAAAATAGTTACTGTCCGGCCCTTTGCAGGGAGAATTTTGCTGAACCCCGGACTAACTGACAGACATTTTCACCAAAGGAAACAGGTGCAGAAGAAATCTTGGTGGGAGGAAAGTGAGTAGTCAGCCCTCTCCTTGCGCCTTCTCTTTTTCTCCTCTCCTTCCAGGCCCATCTCACTCTCTTAAAAGCTCAATACATTGAGATTTCTAACCTTTCATTGGCTGGGGGTAGAAATTAAGTGCATGGCCTTTGATTTTTAAGTCTTTTTGTCTGGATGTTGGTGCAGCTGCTGGAGAGCAGCTGAGTCCTTTCTCCTCCTGGGTGAATAGCTAGCTCTTCCCAGCCCCCCGCAGTATTTTTTTCTAAAGTCTCTGCACCTGGTTCTAATCCCTTCTTCCCTGAGACTGGGCAAGAGCTTAATCTCTCCCCTTCCTGAGTCTAGATAAGGCTGTTCCCCTCCCCTTTCTCGGGTAGGGAAAGGCTCTTTGTGCTGTGTTTGTGCTGGTGTATTTTTTTAAAATTGTGGTAAAATATACATAACATGAAATTTACTTTATTAATCTATACATCGTATTAGTCCGCTCACAATGTTGGGGTGCCTCCTATGAGTGGAATCATATAGTATTTGTCCTGGGCCTGGCTTCTTTCACTGAGCATAATGTCCTCAAGGTTCATCTCTGTTGTAGCAGGTGTCAGAATGTCCTTCCCGTGTGTGTGTGTGTGTGTGTGTGTGTGTGTGTGTGTACACG